CTGTTGCACAGAGAAATTTCCTTGATGAGGAGTGAAGACTATATGTTTCTGTGGCTATAAGGACAGCTGATTATAGATTGCTGTTAGACACTATGCTGGTTTAATAAATTAGTGGTAGCGGATCCTTGTCTAATAACCGTGACTTCATTAGCACTGAGTATATAGCTAAGTTTTCTGTACTTGGTTTCCTTCTTGTTGAGTTGGTTGTAAGACATATTAAGGAGCAGTTAGTTACCACCGATGTATGTCTAACACTTCTTAACCCTTAGGTTTATCTTGCTATGCAATTCATGATGTAGATCATAAGCATCATAACTGGGTAGGACTGCTGATTTGCCTCCTGCCTTTCATTTAGTTTAGTTCTACCCCAGGTATTTCTGGTCTGTTTCTGAAAACCATGGTGTCTTTCATAATAGAGACTTATGTTCTACTCTGTGGACATAACCAAAAACAACAAGAGGCTGTGTGTTTGGGGAGTCTCTTGGACACCCTGGTTAACAACTCAATAGAGGGTTTTTGTGTCTGATACTGGTGTTTTTGTGAGATGCTCTTTGGTTCTTGAAGGGAGCACTCTCAGTTTAGTTGAGTAAAGTTTTTAGGTAGAATTGCATATGTTATAGGGCATTTTTATCTAAATAGCTAGCATTTATTATGATACCCTGTGACTTTTGCAGACACCGTTATTGGTATTTTACCCACATCTAACCTCCTTTGCTTAACCTTCTTCACCCCTACTACAGAGCCCCCCTCACCTTTTTTTTCCCAAGTGTCAGATCACTTGTATAAGTGCATGTTTACTCATTTGTTCATGGAGGCTACAAGTCAACCTTGAATGTCCTTCTCAGGGAGCTGTACTCTTTGGTGTATGAGAAGGTGGCTCTCAATGTCCTGAGGTTTGCCAAATAGGCTAGGTACGCTGGTCCACAGTTACACTGATCCTCTTAGCTTTTCTGTCATGTACTGGGCTTAAATATGTAGCTCACTACACCAGGTCTTTTCTCCCCATGTGTTCTGGGGGATTCAAACTACATCTTCATGCTTCTAAGACAATCACCTTACAAAATGAGCTATATTCCTGGCCCAACATGCATGCATTTTAGTGAAGCTAAAGGAAAAAACACAAGAAAACAACAGATTATGTTCAACCTCTATTTTGCCACCTTCTATCTAATCATTTCCATCTATTTGACTAAGAAAATAGAGCCACAACTTTCATAAACCTCCACAGCGACTCCCCAGCCTGTATTCATCCCCATATGTTCTGCCTTTCCTCCTGTTGTTACAGATTAACATTTTTAGCTGCCATATGACAGAGAAGGCACACAGGAATGGGGCATTGTTAGGAAGCTTGTAAAGTTCTGACTGTTGGTGAGTGGAATGCTGAGGATTTTGAAATATACCCTCTTTGATTTAGAACTTATGATAACCTAAGTACAGTTGTAGAAGCCTAAGCAAGGAGACTAGTGGTGACAGTGGGAGCCAGTCATCCTTTCCAGTGGGATAGTCAGCAATAACAACTGTTGTTGAACTTCCAGAACTTTTATTTTTATTTTCTTTTAATTTATGAATAGCTACATGTGGTTGACCAGCAGGATTGGGCAGCAGGGTCTAAGTAGGTTAACAGGTTTCAGAACTCAAGTGACATGCATGATCTCAAATCACATTAGAAAGACTCTGCCTTAATCCAGGAGAGTAGCTCTGAGTTTGAATAATTTGTAGCACAGATCATCAACCATCCCGCTTTATCACTCTCTGTCTTATTCCTTCAGACAGGGCCCATTACTGACCCGGAAGGACACTGTTTGGAATAGAGTGGCTAGTTGCTAAGTGCCATACAGCGGTCACAGACACACATGGACAAGCTGGCTCCTTTTTTTTTTTTTTTGTATGTACTTGAACTTGGGCTTAGGCTAACATGCTTACATACCCAGTTCTTTTACTTACTGAGTCATGTCCCTAGGCCCCAAAATAGGCAAAATTCTTTAAAAAGAAAATGATTTTGCATTTTAAAAAGTTTTCATTGTTTACTTTGTTTTCCCTCACATACATGAGTAAATACATCACATTATGAGGTATATACTAATATTATATATGAGATATCAAGTAAATATTTATTTTTCTGGATCTGGATTAACCACTGAGGGAATATTTTCTTAGTTCCATTCATTTACCTGATAATATCATGATTTCAAGTGTTTTTTAAAGGATACAAAACACTCCACTGTGTAATGTATCACATTTTCTTTGTCCATTTGTCTGATAAGGGGCATCTAGGTTGTTTCCAATTTCTGGCCACTATTAACAGAGCAGGAATGAATATTGTTGAACAAATATCTCTGTGGTAATGTGAAATGTCCTTTGGGTATATACCCAAGGGTGATATAGCTGGATCTTGAGGTAGTTCGATTTTCATCTTCCCAAGGAACAGCCGCCCTAATTTCTATAGTGACTGGAAAGCTTTGCAGTCCCAACAGCTATTGATGAGTGTTTCCTGACTCCATATCCTCTCCAGCATGACCCATCCCTTGTTTTATTGATCCTAGCTATTCTGACTAATACAAAATGAAATCATAAAATAGTATTGATTGGTGTTTTTCTAATGTCTAAGCATATTTAAGATGTTTCCTAGCCATTTGAGAATTCTCTGTTTAGATCTGGGCCCTACTTTTAAATTGTTTTCTTGATATCTGTTTTTTTGTGTTAATTATATATCTGGATATTCTCTACTTTAGGTTTTCCTTGTTGAACAATGAGCTCAGTACTCACTGAGCATTCTTGCTAACCTTTTGTGCCTTATTTGTGCAATAAGTACTTTTATCACTTCTTTTACTGAAAACGTACAGGTAGATATGTAAGGGTTTAAGTAAAATAAACAAGAAAATGCAATATAAAGAGGGAGGCTTGCACCAACAGCCATGCCAGAAATAGATGTTGACACTAGTAGGAAATAGTGATTGACTATCTTGAAGTAATATCAGTGTGTCACATTGTATGCTAATGATAGTAATGAACATTTTAATTCACATGGAATTTTTTTCTAGTAGGTAATTCAGCAACTGAAACAGTGCAGACATGCTCTTTGTTTGTGTGCTGGAACTGGTGGCAAATGTAATTTAAGCCTGAAGGGAGGATGGGAGATGGCAAAGCCTTTACCTGAGGAAATGAGTAACAAAGAATAGTACAGCTTTGTGGGGAGAAAAGCACACATCATACAATTACCTCACAGTCAATCCTTAAAAAATTCTGACTGTTGAGCAAAGAAAGGCCACAATACTTCACTTTTGACTATTGAAGGAAAATGTGAGGAAATATTTCCAAACGTCAGCTGTGTACTGCCATTTTCAAGTTGTTCTATTTGAAGAAATATGGCTGTGTTTCTCAGGGAAAATTAATAACTGCACGTGGTGGTGCATATGGTAATCAAGATTCCAAATTTTCTGCCACAGTTTGGATTTTTAAAAGTCCTGTCTTATGTTATGCTATGAAGTGTATGTAGTTTTCACAGATCATATGTTGCAAGTGTTAGTTAGAAACCACAGTCCCTTTACATTGCTAAGATGGGAGTATAAAGCAACTGCATTTTCCCTTTAACAGTTTTGTTGCTTTTCTCTCACAGATTATACATGCACACTCAAAAATTATTTTGTGATTTAAATACTCTGTTCTTTTGAAAATATTCAGTACAGATCTCATCATTCAAATTGGAGTTAGAACCTGCTCCCTTGTAGAAGAAAATTAAATATCACTGTTATGTGTCTTTAAAGTTTTCCCCAACTACTATTCCAACAGACTGGTAATCTGAAAGAGGAAGAGAGGGAGGGAGACAGGGGCTAAAGGGAGTGAAGAGAGATGCAGAGGTTATTAGCAGATACTTCATATTTGTTATACTAAATCCTGAGGTATAACTATTGTAATGTTTCCCACAAGAAATGTAACAAAAAAATAAAAGCAACATTTAAACAAAATTAAAAATGAAAACCAGCGAATGCTTCCTTTATATGCTCAACATTGCAAACCAGAAATCATCTTGCTAACATTTGTAGCAGAACAGTTGCTTCCTCATTTCTGAAGTCACTCATTCCTTCCTCTACCTATATTATACGGTGTTTATTTTTCTTTTACAGTTTTAAATCTCACTAACAACTTTAACCTTCCTTCCTTTCCATTAGCCCAAATTCCTATTTTCTGACTAGACTGTATATATTCCTTAGAGATTTTCTAGATTCTCAATTTCTAATACTGATGTTAAACACTTGCTATGGGGATGGTTGCTTTTAGATTAACAATAGTTCATTTCCTTTCCTGAAAGTACAATTTATGAAGAAAACTTAATGGTTGTCATATTAGGTCGTCATTCCCACATGTTGACAATGTGATATGGGCTACGCAGCTTTGTCTCATACAGATGTGACCGGCATTCCTCTCCATCAACCTCTCTAGCAGACTTTCTCTTTTATGTCACTAATTTTTAGGCACCACTTGCTATCTTTCCTAGCTGGACCCTATCCACATGTGAGCTTAGGAATCTTGGGTTATTTACAGTGCATTTTTTATTCCAATTCATTTTAATATTAATTTTGAAGATTATTACCATGACTCTGACAGTTTTAAACATGTTACTTATGTTGATAAAATAGTCTATCATATATTTCAATCAATACTCTTGTATTTGTGGTACCTGGAAAGTCTTCTAGACTGCATCTAGAACCAACTGTTGCTCTCCTCCTTGCATGGGCAGTTTCAACATTTGACCAAGGTCCCTAATTTTGTCAGGATTAGAATTCTAAATTCATGTCCCCCCAGACCAGTCATGAACTCATTCTTCAGTACTCTATCTTACAAAATGTATTTCTAGAGAGTATTGCATCTGAAAACAGCCCTAAAATAAATATGTTTATACTGAGACTTTTGCAATTTCACTCACTGTTTTATTTTTTATATTTAAACAAATTACCCTCAAAAGGTAAATTATTCTAATTTACCTATTTTATTTCAAACAGATCATGTTGTTTGTGAAGAAGAGTTTAAATACGCCATGTTAGCTTTAAACTGTATATGCCCAGCAACATCTACACTTATTACACTACTGGTTCATACCTCTAGAGGGCAGTAAGTATATTTTTTTCTTAAGATAATTAAATAAGTAGTTGTGTGATAAAAACCTATATATAGTAAGCCAAGATATAAAACTAGATATGTGCCTTCATTTGTTATTGTGTACATTATCTTCATTTGAAAGATATGAACATCTTAATGGGCCTAAGACATAAATAAAATTTATCTAACTGGTTATTAATCTTATTCATTATTCTTGATATAATTTTAATGAACAACATTCTAAGTTTCAACATTATTTCTTGGGTTTAGAGTTAGTTTCCATGATTAATACATTTACAGTACTTTATTTTACAGTGTTTCATATTACTTACTTGGTATTGTAGAGTAATGTTGATTATATTACTAAATTCTACTGTGTGCCTTTGGTCAAGATGAGTTTGTTTGTTTGTTCATTTCTCCATAAGTTATATGGTTACTATTTAACTGAACTACTAAATCAAATAGATTCAGTGTGCATAAATTTTTTTCCTAGAATGCTTGGTAGGTAGAAGGAGTCACTAATATAAAAACAGTAAATGCTCAGCGGTATTTTAAAGTAGATTTCACTATCCAGCCTCTAATTGCATTTCTGTTTTGCTGAGATAAAAGATTCCCTCAGGAGCAATTTCACAAATTCTTAATAGAAATACTTTTATTCTGCATGTTCACAAGTGTTTAATCTCAGCAATGGAAGGAGGTAGAGAAATCATGAGTTGGGTGGTTTATTTTCAAGAAGTACTCAGTAGTTTGTTCCAATTAAGGTACAGAAAATCATTTAGATAACAATAAATTGAACAGAGACATGATCAAATGTATTCACTATTTTTGTACTAGTTTTGTCATTGAATATTATAATCCTGAAAGTTTAGTTCAACTTCACTCCTGTTTGTACAAAGGAAAATTCATTGACATTGTTTAACAGATGTAACTCAGATTATCTTGTGCAAATGCTATTGTATGTATTTGTTTGTTTGTTTGGAAACACCACTCTACCTGGGTTAAAAACAAACAGTGCACCTGTCATTAATTCCATTTATTCCACTGTACTTTCCTTTACTAAAATCGCCATTTTATCATATAATTAAGGATTTTCATTCAATATTTTACTATCTCTTTTTTAGCATAAATTTCTTTAAAGAATCATCACTAAGTTTTAATTCATAGGTCAGGAAGTTCACCCAGTAATGTTTAAAGTTTGTCATTTAAATATACTCACATTATTGTCCATCAGCGATTTTTAATTAGAAAAAAACTGCCCAAAAACCTATTAGCAATCTCCCTACATCCTTTCACCCTTGAGCAGCCACTAAGTTACTCCTGTTTCTGTTGTTTGTCAGTTCTAGACCATTACATGTGTCACATGTTGCTGGCTTGCCTTCCATCATATAGACTGACATTTTCAAAGTCCATTCATACTATGACACACAATAACTGGTATTCTTAATTTTGAAGCTATTCTACCACAGGAGAAACCACATTTCACTTTTCCATTTAATATATAATCAGCGCAGGTTGTTTCTAACCTCTGAAAGACACTAGCTTTGTCGAGATGTTTAAGCTGAATATATTTCTAGGTCATGTGCTCATTCTGTTCATCTGTTCGATGCTGTTAGAATATTGATAAATAGATTACAGTATTTTGAGTCTTACTAGCAGTGTATCATAGTTCCAATTTCATCACAGTTTTTTCAATACTTACAGTCTTCCCTTTTGCTCCAAACTCTCATAGGTGCCTGTGAAGTTCCCTACTGTGTTTCTAGCTTGCATTTACCCATGTATAATTATATTAAGCATTAAGTTTATGTACTTTTTGGTTTGTAATAAAAGTACAATTACATATATCATTGAAGGAAGACTTTTTGCATAATGGACAACGGAAAATTATTATAGGAGAGAAATAGTTAAGTTATATAGAATATGAAAAACATCTTAAAATTTATTTGTAAGCATTTAGTACTTTTATTTAATTTGTGAATGCACTCACATGTGTGTGTGTGTGTGTGTGTGTGTGCCCACTAACGGAAGTGTACACGTAGATGTAAGAGGGAAACTTAAGGCAGTCAGTTCTCTCCTCTTCTTGCATCATGCTGATTCTGGGTAACAAAATCAGGTTACCATGCTTGCTAACTGTCTTGTATTCCCACTAAGCTACCTTACTGTCCTGTATGATTTATACTTTATTGAATGTTATTAGTTCTTATTTTCATAAGAAAAGTCAACACTGACATCAGAGTAGTACATATTACTCCATTTGTTTTTTGTAAAATTATATACTTATCAAACTAAATACAAAAATACCTAAGGACTCAATCTGAAAACGCTTCATGGAGCAAGTACCTTCCCTGGAGAAATAAAATTCCATAATCAAAGACTGAGTAATACTAGGTTAAAAGAGTGTTTGTAATTGCTTTTCTTTCCTTTTTACTTGAAGCAATTGAGATTTGTACTCCCACCCCTCCAAAAAAAACTGCAAAATTAGCATAAACAGTTCCACACACTCATGTTAGTAATTTAAGTAATATTTATACTTTGTAGTTTCAGTGAACTTCTCAAATGAGGACTTATTTGACCTCTTTGAATTGTCTACTAACATTATTTATCTGGTCTTTTGTCCTTTCAAAATATCCTGTTTTATGTTACATATTTTTGACTGTCTTCTTCTCAGCTTCTAATATGTGGCACTTCCTATGGAGATTGGAGTAGATATAATCAGATGATTTTTATGAACAAATAAAAATGGTAGACACAGATATATAGTTGTGCAGCTGAATATGTCTGTCAGAATATATCACATGGAAATTTCCACAGTTTCAAGAGAGCCTAGAAGCAATGACATCTGGTGAACAATGACCAGAGATTGCTTCTTAAATAGTACTCTAGTGTAAAAGGAATGGGATATTGTTGATTAAGGACTGATTGAGGACAAAGAGAACATGAACCTAGAAAATCTGACATCAGAGAGCAAGGACTTGCTTCATGTGGGGTTCAGGAAAATGACACAAGGTCAATACTAAAAGGTTTTCTAATAGAGCTACAAAATACGTGAAAAAGTGAGGGAGTCATAGGTTAGAAGACAGATCTGGCACCAATGAGACCTCCAGTGATCTAAAGGGATGACACCAACTGGCAAGCTAAGCAATAGTGGAGAGACCACCTTAAATGCCCATTCCTGATAATGAAGTTGATATCTATAGCCATCCTAGAACTGATGGAAGCAGAGGCAAACACCCACAGTTAAACACTGAACTGAACCCATGGAACCCAGTGATAGAGAGGAGTGATGAGCAAATTGGCAAAACATGGGCTGGCAAAACCAGCAGAGACAGCTGCTCTGAACAAGGGGGGAGGGAGCTCTTGGCCCCCAAACCGAAAGCTGGGAGGCCAGCATGGGACTGATCCAGACCCCCTGAGTGTGAGAGTCAGTGAGGAGGCCTTGGCAACCTATGGGGCCCTGGGCAGTAGATTAGTATTTATCTCTGGCATACAAACAGAAATCGTGTGTCCATAACAGAAAGAGGGATGCTCTCTCAGCCTGGACTCTTAGGGGAGTGCCTGGACCCTGCCCTGAGTGAAATGACAGTCTCTAGATATCTCCTATGTGGAAGGAAGTGGGGATAGGGTGGGAGGCTGTGGGGGATGGTGGGGGGGGTGCGGGAGGAGGGGAGGGAGAGGGAACTGGGATTGACATGTGAAGCAAGCTATTTAAAATTAAAGTAATAAAAAAAAATGAAAAAACTGTGAAAAGAAACAAATACCAGGAGTCCAAAACAAAAAAACTTAAATGGTGAAGGAAGCTTTCAGCTTTTTTTCCAAATAATTCCAATATTAAGTATAGAATAAATGAGAAAATATGAAGCTAACCATAGGAAAACATGATGCAAATATTGTCCTTCTTCCAATATGTGCTAATAGTAGTGGATGAAATTTCAAGGAGAACCAGAAAAGCTGTTATTGACATACCTCTCCCAGATATTTATTAGCTGCCAATTTAAAATTTGTAATTCTACAGGACAAACCCGACTATCATACCTTATACAAGCAATTGCTATAAATATCACCAATAAAAAGACCCAAATATCTCACAGTTCTTCACAGGATGCATAAAAGACCAAGCTTAGTTTCTTTGATTTTTCTGTAAACACTTTCCCCTGGTGAGTAGACAGCAGACAAATCTACATAGAAAACTTGCATGGACTTCCAAATGTCACAGTAGCAAAATAAGGAAGGACTGGAGATTTTATATTTAATCATTTCATGGAGGTTAATACGGAAAACTTTTAAATACTCATAATATCCTGTTTTGACTGGGATAGTTCACTCAGTGAAAACTTTCAGAAAATATTTATTTGGAGAAAACAAAGATCAAGGCAAATGAGAGCAAAGGATGCTTGCTATGCTTGTAGACCTTGTGCTACCCTGAGGAGAACCTGAAGCTTTTCTCTACTCAATAAGTAGGTTAATGACCTCAAGTGAGAAATTAGCCATAAGCCATCCCCTGTGTATTTTACCTAACATTCTACACACTCACTATATTTCAACACCCATGAGAGGGAAAAAAAAAGGAAATTCCAGTGTTTTGTCTCCAGGAAATAGTCCAAGGAAACCCACCAGGGACTAAAGAAAAGAAGAAGGGAGATGTAGAAAATGAATGAGACACTTCATCTTCTCCTGAGCTTGTTGCAGAGAGCCCAGGGAATCAGCTGCCGTGTGGGTGGGAAAGAAAGTTTTTCAAAAGTAATAGGGATTATAATTACCATCCTGACTGCCAGAAAGGAAAGGAAGGGAAGGGTGGGAGACGGAGCTCAAAAGGACTATCTTTAGCTCCATAGAAAGGTTCACACTCAGAACTGTGACAGAAGACTGTATTTTGTAATCTGGAAAATCTAGTTCAGTGTTTAGAATAGAGTACCAGTGGCAACGTGGGGTGCTGTGACTTAACTTTAAAGTTTCTCTTTAAAGTCTCTCTCTCTCTCTCTCTCTCTCTCTCTCTCTCTCTCTCTCTCTCTCTCTCT